GATTCAAATATGTTAAAAATTTCAAATTCTAGATTGACTTAATTTAGTTCTATAAACGGAGCTTTCATTTCTTCGTCTTCATTCATTATTAAAATGATGATTTCTTAATCAATTATTATTTGTGATAAAAACTATGAGTAAATTAATGAATTTTAAGCTTTATCTGGTTGGATTGATTAACCTAAAAACAAGGCCTAGTTTTACTTGTAAAATAGTCAAAGCGTAACTCTGATGAACAATGATTTCTAAAAGTGTGGTTATTCCTCTCAAGGGGGCTTGTTTTCATTGTAGAAAACTACATTGACAGACTATAATTCAATTTATAAAAATATTTCAGGGCAATACGGAGGAGTTTTGTTTGCGCAAGACTCAATCATATCTATAACTCAATCAAAATTTATAGGGAATTTAGCAAAAACAGGTGGAGTTTTTTATATAGTATCAAATTCAAACTTAAGTATATCCTATTGCTAATTCTAACAAAATCAAGCAGTGTAATCAGCTGGCGTATTATATGTATCAACATAATCAATCTTCAATGTAAAAGGAAGTATATTTGAATAAAATAAAGCTGAAGAAAATTCAGTAATTGAAGTTCTGAACACTTTTCTATAAGAAAATGTAATAATAATTAATTGTCAATTCTTGGATAATGTTGCAGCAAAGAATACAATATCAATGATTTACTCTAATGTTTAAATTAAAGATACTTTATTTAATAATAATTACGCTAAATACAGATCTAAAAATTTGCTTTTGGAATTTGTTAATATTACAATTTAAAACACTATATTTCAAAATAAGCCAGAAAATAAACTTGCACTAATCAATGATGAAACATCTGGTGCATTTATATTTTTGATATTTGATGTTTATATGAATATTGATAATTGTAAATTTTTAAATGGCCTTTCACATTTAGGGGGTGCTTTATATATTTTAGGAGATAGCGTCATTAGAATTTCGCGATCATCGTTTATAAATAATCAAGCAAATTCTAAAGGAGGAGCAATATATACCTCTGGTTTCGAAAGTATCTTTATTGGTGAAGGAACGAAATTCATAAATAACTCAGCTGTCGAAAATGGAGAAGATATCTATGTCACAAACTCTCTAAATATGTTGACACTGAACAATGTCTTTGTTTAAAATCTTAAGTCGAAAAATTCAATATATATCGAATAGGCTATTTTAAATGCTGAAAATTTAGTAATGAAAGATTTAAATTAGAATTATGAATCTAAGATGGGCGCTGGAATATTTTGCAATTATTGTAAAAGTTTCAAAATTAAATCTTCCTAGTTTATTAATTTAAAAAGCATTGTGGGTGGAGCAATTTCTATAATCGAAATTGACATTAACAAAGGGAAGACTTAAGAATAGAAAGAAGAAAAGTTTTATATTACCGATTCTCTATTTTAGAACTGCACTGCTCAAATTGGAGGGGCTATCTATGCTGAAAATGCACAATCAGTTAAGATAGTTAATTCTACTTTTTCTGAAAATAAGGCTTTAATTGTTAAAAATAGTCTCCTTTAAATAACAAACAAAGGGTCAGGAGGAGCAGTATACTACACTTGCAACAGCTAGTAGCTTAATTGCAAAATGAAATTTGAAGGCTTCAATATTTTTTAAGACAATTTAGCTGAAGTAAAAGGTGGAGCACTATTTTGGGATTAGCTTGAGCCAGAATTCAGTAGTGATGATTTATTATATTCTAATAACAAAGCTAAACTATATGGAAATGATATTGCTTGCTATTCATAGAATTTAAAATCGATTTCTCTGTAGGAATATTAAAATAAAATGATTGAAATAGGATTGTACTCCTAAGATGATTCTCAAAGAATGTTGGAATTTGAAAATAATATCATTCCTCATAGATAGCTTGAAGAAATTAATTATCAAAGAAGTGGGGGGAAAATACCAATTGTATTTC